AAAACTGTGTTGTGGTTAAACGATAACGCACAGAAGTGGATGGTCGTTAGATGTTTATTTTCTGGTCTGCCACTTTTGCTGTTATTAATTTACTGTTGTCAACAGTTTTTTTCTTTCTGTGTTGGTTTTTTTTATTCTTGTTTTATTATTATATTGCATTACAATGTGTTACCTTCTAAAATCAACAACAATCCACTTTTTTAACATAAAACAAGTTTGCACTGACACTACTCTTGTCTAATATTAGCTTTTCGGGTTTTAATTAAAGAAACATGTTCATGCATGTCTCGAAAGAAATTCAAGTTCAATTAAGAAAAACTTCAATTAAATTAAATAAAAGTGCTATGCATAAGCACTATAGTAGGAGTTAAAAACCAATTCGATAAAAGGCTTAAACTGATATTATTAGGTAATTAAAAATAAGTAATTAAACGTTTTAAGAAATTTTAGTGACAATATTTTAATAGTCATACTGAATCGCACTATTGATTTTGATTCGGTATAACTATAAATTAGAAGATGAATTAATATACATATGTTACATATGTACATAGATTTATTAGTAAGTATTTTATTATCATTATATTTTTATCATATCTTATTAACACCAGAGTTTTTTTTCAGATATAAAAATTGAATATACATACATACATACATATGTATGTATGTATGTATATTCAATTATATATATTATTAAATACTTAATATAATTTGTGATATTAAATTATAATACACCCAGCCGTTTACGGTCACCTCGTTTAACGACAAACTCGCTTAACGGCCTAACCATATTTATGACCATATTTCTCGGTTAACGGCCAAGAAATTATACAATGGGGTTTCAGTTTTTGACCGTTATGGCCCAATGGCTGAAATTCATGTTTTTGGCATTCCTAAAAGGTGGTCATAGTGGATTTAAGTCTCACGCTTTGGCTTTAAATGTTTCTAGCTACCAGAAAAAAAAAATTATCATTCCTTCTTCTTTTTTCTCCTTCTTTCCTTCTTCTTCTTTCTCCTTCTTTCCTTCTTCTTCTTTCTCCTTCTTTCTTTCTTCTTCTTTCTCCTTCTTTTGTTCTTCTTCTTTCTCCTTCTTACCTTCTTCTTCTTTCCTTCTTCTTCTTTCCTTCTTCTTCTTTCCTTCTTCTTTTTTCCTTCTTCTGCTTTCTCCTTCTTTCCTTTTTTCTTCTTTCTCCTTCTTTCCTTCTTCTTGTATGTCTTCTTGTTTTCCTTTTTGTCCTTCTTTTTGAACTTTTTCCCCGTCTTTCTTATTCCTTTAATCTTCGTTACTCCAAAACTTGCACCGCATCTTTTTCTTCGTCCCAACCATTCAGCATAAACTTCTGGTATGCCGCACCGTAACAATGTATCTTGTCACTTCTGTCGACATTCCCACTTTTTCAGTGCTATTGCCCATTTGTGGAGCTGATTTCCTGTCTTCAACAAATTGACGGCACAAATTTTCTTTTAGCAGGAAAATTCAAGTGGGATTATGAAACTTCTCAACTTTGTCCATTCTATCTAAACAATACTTATATTACTCAACTTTTTCACTTGTTGACGTACTTGCGATTTATCTCTTGCTAAAAGCTTTTCCAGATGCATAAATCGCGTTTCCATTTGCGATGAATTTTGTCTCAGCCGTATCAACATTCGTCAGGAGTTCTCCCTCATTTCCGCTATCATCTGCGACATTTCTATCGCATTTGTTTATTGACAAACCCACTTCTGGTACTAATTGATATGAATTTGGTTTTTAAAGTTAAATATGGTGTGAAAAACTATATTATAGAATTTTTTTTTGGTTTTCGAGCAGTAATTTTTTCGAATTTTTGTTTAATTGAATTATTGGTCGACCATATAGCAGTTTCGAGTATTGCCAAATACTCATCTTCAGTGGATATTTATTTCATACAAATATTGATAAACAATTTTTGATATTGCAAGTACTAAAAAATGAATTTGTACCCAGTGAAATTTGAAGCTTAGAATCATTGTTAATAGATCGTGACTTAAGCCGTACTTGACTTCTAACTTGATCATTTTTTTGATCATGAAAAATAAAAACGGGTTTTATTGTAATTTACTACTATTTAAAAAAATATATTTTTAATTTCTTTTAATTGCTTAATATAGTGTTCTCAATGAATTTTTCTGTAATAATTAATATGATAAATTCATATGAAATTCTTGGATGGGACTTCCACTTATCATTTTAGGAAATGTAACAATTATCGCACTCATCAGCAATTCCTTCTCCAATAGAAAGATTCATAATTAATTTCAAAGAAATATTTGACAAAGTAGTACTTAACTTATTTGCATAGTTAACAGCAAACTTTTGCTTGAAATAAAAAAATTAAATGCACTTTACGATGTTTAATTAAACAAGCTTAATAATTAAAATGAATCATATGAGAAAAATAATTAAACAATAAATATATAATTTCTCCGACATGCAGTGAGTGAATAAAGATACTTTATATCAGCGCAGAGAACTGATTAAATTCTTGCTATTTTTAATTCAGTGTTTGTAGTACTCGGAAAAGGTCAAATTTTATTACTTTATTGGAAAAGATGATTCCAACGTAATATAAAATTTTGTACTTTGAATAGTTAGAAAGTAAACACATAATATTATGATTTGTGTTGTTCAAAGACTAGTCTCAACAGATCTAAAATAGACTGTACAGAAACTTAGTTCTTATTTAATTTATATCATATTGTTCTTATCACTGAAGAACTTTTTCACTTATTAGTGAAAACTTATCTTACAAAAATCCAATCCCGGATACAAACGGATACTATCTTAAGTGAATAATTTTTCTAAAACCCATTTTTGATCATAATTTCAAATAATTCAACTCTATTGAATGAAACTACGTTGACTGACTATTAGAATTTACTTAAAGAAAGAATAAAATTCTTTCAGTGTCTCTTATAAATTGTAGTTCTATATTAAATTTAATTTTAAAGACAGTTATGATGACAGCAACTATTTTACTAAAGCGAAACTATCGCATTTAATAGAAAGGTTTCGATTAGTGGTTCAAAAGCCGTAGTTCTGTATTGTACTATTGTATTTAATAGATAGGTTTCGAACATTGGTTCGAAAGTAGTAGGTCTGTATCAAATTCTGATTGTTTTATACTCTTTCTTTAATTCTTTGATATTTTAGAAATTGTTTTATTCTTTTAAATGGATATCTCCATAAAATTGATTTTTAAATCGGTTATTAACTTCAAAAAACTTAAACTTTCTAAAATCGCTGAAGAAGGTATGTTTCGACATAAAAAGTATTTTTTGCTGCAAATGCGATATAGAATTATATCTGGAATATATGCATCTAAATATGTATATAAAATAATTTAAAAAAAAATATATTTTCACAAGTAAAAATTAATTATCCTTTCTTTTTTTATCCTAAAAAGAAACGGTTGAGATACCAAAAAAAATATAGCCTATATAATAAGTAAATAATATCAAATTTTTAATATCCGTTAAAACATGTTTCTAAATCTACATAATCATTAAGTAACTATATTTTTCACTTTATTAATGGTAATACCTACAGTAAATAACTACAGAAAATACCTACAGCCATTTAATTATCACACCGTCGAAATTATAAAAAAAAAATACATCTATGAAAAAAGATAGGTTAAGCTAAGTGAAATGCCAAAATTTTCATATACTTTACAAAGATAGTTTTTTACTTTCATTTTATAATAAATTATACATTTTAAAAAGCATATTTTACCTCAAATACTCTATGAAAAATTTACACAAAACAATTACATACATTAACTTTAACACATCAGTAAATTCGCAGTTATACTGGATTCACAGGAGAGTTTTGTTTGTAATTTTAGCTGTCAAAAATTTTCATTTCGCATTGAAAGCAACAACAA